AAGGAAAGTTGAAGCCTTTGGTAAAATCATTGTGAGATCTAAACGGGTTTTTATCTCTAATTCTATTCTTTGGAGTATTTTATATTTTTTTTTATGTTATTTGAATATGGTCTGTATGGTTGATTGATTAGAGTACATGCCGAGTTGATTAATCATTTTAATCTATTGCCAACTAAGTATCCAAGTCCGTAATTGTTTATCTAAACTTGCTTGTGCTAGTAACCGAGGATTAATGATTATAAATGAGTTTTTCTTTAATTTCTTGAAAAACAAAAAAATTAGATTAAATTCTTCTAACATCTAGGAGTTTTGTTTAGCTTCATCCATCTTTTTATAATTTAATGTTGTTGTTGGATTAAATTTAGATAATGTTTACTAGGTTATTCAATAGTTAGGATTAATCAAATAGTGTCTATTTGATTAACGAATCACTAAGGAAAAATTAGAGATAATATACATGTTATTATCTTATGGTGAATATTATAAGAATGGATTGATATATGAATTGATGATCAACGATTGAACAAAAAGTGAAAACCAACCTTTAACCAAGGCTTTCATTATCATTATTATCTATTTATTTGCTTTTACTACATTTAATACTCTCAACATATAAAATCCCCTTTTAATGTTCCTTATACTTTAGGACATTTAAGAAATAAAGAATATTAATTGAACCGATTCTCTATGGAATCAACCCTTGCTTGCCTTAACTACAATCTAGTGATTAGGACTAGTAGGGAAAAAAAGTCAAATTTATTGATGATATGACATGCCATCACATGTCGGGATTTAATTAGATCTCATGCTAAATTGATGAGACTTCTAATTTCGGTGTCGATGTCAATTTAATACGATTCCATTAAAAAAAAAATCAATGTGCCTTAGATGACAAACAAGTTTGAAAATAGACTTGGAAAATAATTTAGCAAGCATAATTTTTTTGAGATGTTTTTAGAATTAGACAAAACTCGATATCCTTTCTTAAAAAATGTACCTTTGGTTATTGTTATCTTTCCAAAAATATAACCAATTTCATACCCAAAATCTCCGAATTTAGTGTCTTTCTTAGGTTTTTTTAGTTTCTTTCAATACTAGATGGTGACTCAAAAATCTTCTTAATTCTTTTTCTTAACCAGATATTTTGGAAGTGTGATATATCAAGTAGTGACAAATCTAATGATACTTGAAAACCTAAAAAATTGACGAGTTGTTGCCGAGGCAAAGCTTAGTAGAATTTGAAGTTGTAGTGGCCATAAGTTTACAAGTGGATATAGCACCTCGTGCAAGAATTTCTTGATTATATTTATGTTGGCAAAGGATAAGGCCCCGAGTAGTAGATTTCACATCTACACCAAGAAAATAAGCAAGAGGACCAAGATTTTGTAAGTGAAATGCAGGTTGCAAGTAGTGCCATAAAAGTGATAATATGAGAGAAGATACTATCCGTGATAAGAATATTGTTAACATAAACCAAGATAGAGATAGAAACCCAAAAAAAAAAAGTTAATAAAAAGTAAAGTATTAATTTTGGAGCTCATAAATTCTAAACATAAGAGAAACTGACCGAGCTGACGATACTAAGCATACGATGCCTTTTTCAAATCATATATAAAAATTTATATAACACGGATATATGAGTAGAGTGCATAGGATGAACAAAGCTAGGTGGTTACTTCATAAATACATTTTTAGTAAGAATATAATTTAAAAAGACGTTATGAATGTCAAGTTGATGAAGTGGCCATTACTTAAAAATAGTAAAGTATAGAATAATGTAAATGGTAATAAACTAAGTAATAGGACCGAAAGTATTAGTGTAATCTACACCTTCTTGTTGATGAAATCACTTGGCCATAAGTGTGGCCTTATAATGCTAAAAAAAACCATTAGCCTTCTTTTTCACATGCTAAACCCAACGACACTCAACAATAGTTATGTGAAAAAATCGGGGAACAAGAGTTTACGTATGATTATCATGTAAGGTAACCATTTTAACAAACATAGCATCTTACCATTCATAATAATGGTTATCCTTCTTAAAAAAGATTGGTTCACAATCCGAAGAAGCAAATAGTCGAGAGTGAGCGACATGAGAATAAAAAATAATGCTAAGATGAGTCGCTAGTTTAGAATGGATACAAGAATGAAGAAATATGATATATGTAGGCTCAAAAAGAAAAGCCAACTATTATTAGGACTAATGGATAGTGGCACCGGGAGACCTTCTAGATAGATTGCTAGATAGTGGCAATATGATAGGGTAGCTAAAATGTTGAAAGGTTAACCATCAAGTTAAGGCTAGGTGGCGAAGAGGGAGACCAATATGTTGTAGGTCACTTTAAAGACTTGGCAAGAGAAAAAAGTAGAGCAACATTAAACACGATGGTAGCAGAAGACTATTAGGTAATAGTAGTGGGTATAAAGCTAAAAGTTGAAATGAGAGCTAGTACAGATTATGGAGAACCATAAATAAGAGAGAAAATAATGTTTTGGACAATCCAATAAAGGTAGAAAGGCTAGGTGCTAAAAGGTTTAGTTTGCAAGGTAGAGATCCATGTTCAATCTTTGAAAAAAAAAAAAGAAAAAAAAAGAATTTCATAAAAATTTACATATAGTGAAATGTAAATCTTGTTAATGGAAGTATCAAAACAAATATATTTGAGATGATTACAACAAAAACTAAGAAAAAAAAACATAAAGTATAATAAAAATCCATTTTATGTTTGTTAAAAGGATGGAGGAATGAAAAGCATAGGCAACCAAATGTTTTGATAAAACAATAATCATGTTTAAAATGATAAAGATAATCAAATGGAGACTTACCATTGAGAGTAGGAGTTAGCATACAAATAATCAAATAGGCGGTAATAACAAAAGGAAAAAAGCCAAAATTTGTGAGGAACTTCAAAATGACCAAGTAAAGTTTGCCAAAAAAACCATCTCAATCCAAAAGTTTAAATTGTTAGGTGAGACTCCAAAAATGATTTTATATTACTCTCTAACACACCCTCTTGTTGGTTAGTCCTTTGAATGGTTTCTTAGTATTAGCTTGTGGAAGTTTTAAGTTCAACGAGTTTTTACTTAAAGAGGTGTGTTAGTGATCAATATAAAACCATTTATGAGACCTCACCTAACAACGAGTTGAGATGATGCTTTGACATAGTATCGAGTTTTAATGACCAAATGGTTACTAGTTTGAATCTCACTATTCTAATTCTCTTTTATTGAAATTAAGTAATTAAACACAACATAGTGATGGACCTATATAAGTTTCAAGCCCAAAGACCTTTCATTTGAGGATATATGTTAGTGTCATATAAATTTAAATCTTAAGGTCTCACCCAATAGTATAATATTTCAGGTTAAGATGGTTCTTTGATTTGGGTAAGGCTTCAAAAATTGTTTTATGTTATTCTCTAACAAAGTTAAATCGGTTTCAATAATGTGGCGATGTCGACACTCGACGGAACCACCTTGTTCATGAGTGTGAGGATAGAAGACACGATGATGAATCACAATATCAGTAAAATAAGTATGTATATTTTTTTATACTCACCACCTCAATTAGTTTAAACTATTGAAATTTTAATTGAGTTCGACTAATTTTTTTTAAACTTAAAAAAGAGCTTAAAACATAGTAAAATATAAATCTTAATGCATAATTGCTTAAGATGAATATAATGCATTGGTTTTTATTGAGATGATAAGTTATTTATTATAATAAATTTCATAGTTTAAACAAGTAAACTAAAAATGTATAGTTTTTTTTTTTTTTTTGCAAACTATCGATATAACCGATTTTAAACAATTACCAACTAAAAGTTTATTTTTGTTATTATGATGCAATGCAAAAGGAAAGAAGAATTAATTAACTAATTCATTAAAAAAAATCAATTATTTATGATTGTGTTATTTCAAAATTTAGGATTTAACTTTTTTTTAGCTTTACTTCAATTTTTCTAATTTAGTTTAGTTGCATCATTTAATCATAATTTTTATAATGTTTAAAATGCTTTTAGATCAATTTTTATATATTGAAATAACTTCTTTTTAATTCATCGGTTTAATCTTAAACAAGTTATCTACATTTTATCAAACATGTAAGCAATTATGGAAAAAAAAATTTTCTGAATTTCTCTTTGTACATAGAATTATGGTGTAGTAATAATAATAATAATAATAAATTCTTGATCTTTCTTTGCATATAGAATTATAAAAGTGTAATGAAAAAAAAGTACTTACTACATTTACTAAATGTAGGCATCTATTGGAATTTCTTTTCTTGAATTTCTCCTGGTACATAGAATTATAGAAGTGTAATAATAATAAAAAAGTACTTACTATATTTAACATGAGTTTAATGTTAAGTTATGGAGACCGATATGAATGTGATCCGTAGTTTAATGCACCTTAAAAATAAGAACAACATCTCCGTTATGTGTAATCGTTACTTGATAAAACCCCGGTAAAAACTCATAGTACAACTGTGAAATAGGTATAATTATCGAATTACGTAAATTTTTATATTGTGTGATTGTTTTTATCTTTTTATTCTATTTTTCTTAATTACTTGATTCGTTTTCCGGCATTTAGCTCTTTCATATAACTAGAAACACTATCTTGTCTTCTTTTTATCATGAAAATGGAGGATAATATCCTAACTAAAGTGGTTAGACATAGTCCATATTGTAAGCTCTATTTTCTATTAAAATTGTTAAGGAAGAAGATTTAATATGCTTATTAAATGAAAGTAGCGGGATTCCAATCAATCTTCACTATCTTTTTCCTAAATATTTTACGAGTTTGTATTAACGGTAAAAAGCCAACTAAATGTACGAAACGGGCTCTAGTCACTTAAACAAGTGGTTTTAAACTCGAGTCTTTTTGTGCACAAAAAACTCCTTATATTGTTATGTCCGTCGTATGTGTCCAACCAAAAAATGAGTGATTAGTTTGAGTTTTTAAACCTAAGATACTCGGGAATCAAAAAAAAAAAAATGGCCAACTACATGTGTTATTAATAGGAGTGTAATTTTTAATATAATTTCTCATGTTATAGATTAAGATGATTGATTTAAGAGAGTTTTGAAGCATACTATTATTAATTCATAAGTATTTTTCTATATTATAGTCATAAATATCTTTCTATGTTGTTTATTGTAATTTTCTATACTTTTATCTTTTTTATATATATTATAACACATTGTGATTTTTTTTATATTATATAAACCTTTCACTACACCAAAAACGAGCATTGCATGCGGTTTTTGTCCTATAGAAGCGGTTATAGCCGCCTCAACGGATTGTAGAGGCAATTTTAAAGACCATCTCAAAACCACCTACAATGTTGTCATCTCTAAGGTGTAGATGTTGTTTTGCCAACCTTCGAGGAATTTTGAGGCGGTTGTAATCGCCTCAAAGAATTTATAGAGGCGGTTACAATCGCCTCTACAATGCCTCTTTTAGAGATGTTTGGTGTGTGATTTGAGGCGGTTCAAAACCACCTCTACATTCCTCCTCTTTTGAAATGTTTGAGGCGAGTTATAACCGTCTCAAATTTTAAAAATATAGAGACGGTTTAGATCGCCCCAAACTATAGAATTTATAGAGACGGTTTCAACCGCCCCAAAGTTCAAAAATATAGTAATTTTAAACCGTCTCAAACTATAGATTTAAAAAATAAATAAATTAGTTCATTTAGAATTTATAGAGGCCTTCAAATTCAATTAATTACTTCATTTTGTCAAAAAAATAAATTAAAAAAAAGTTGCATCATGTTAAATGCAAATAAAAGAAAAATTATATAGTTTACAGAATATTCTTAAATTTGTAATTATCAAATTCTAAATACATAAAAAGTCTTCAAACATCCACGAAGAAAAAAAAAACTAAAGGATTAAACCCTTGTTCAAAATGCATAAAACAAAATTCTTAATATGTTTTAAAATAAATGGCTAATATTGAAAAAAAAAACTCTCATGTTTTTATATAAAATGTTTCATTTCGACGGATGACTTAATTGTGATGAACGATTGGGAGAAGAAGCATTTTGACCATTACCATCATTGCGAACCTATCAAAAGCACAATTTCAAAGTGAAAAAAGAAACAATAATATAAATAAATATAAAAACTCATAAAACAATATTTTAAGATTAGAAAACATGTTAAATATTTAATTAGCGAGTATATGATACCCGAGTTTGATTCAATAAAATAGGCATCAATTCGATTAGGATATCTCTCTACACGAGAGTTTTTGGGTAGTAAATATACAAGCTCCCGAAACCGGCACAACTCAACTTGGAAGGATGATTGCGTCAATTTTCGGTGACAAGAGAGTTTTTGTAAGTTGACTCCCTTCCTAAGGTACACTCTAGACACCGAAAAAATATCATGAAACATCCAATATTCAACTAATTAGTAATCTTTGGCAAAGTTTCTTTATCATTTTCGGGACGGATTATCTAGAAACAAGGATGTAACTAAATGTCACATTTGTCATTCCTATATGTGACACATCACACATATCTTATCTCGTAATTCCATCATGGGCATCAACATTTCATATAATTGTATCAAGTATCTTGGCTTTTCGGAAGATAAATTACTTACAAGATTTTATTTTATTGATGCATAGGAATCCAAAAGAGTTATTTCTTCATTTGATCACTTAAGTGAAGAATCGACTTGCAATAAATCCTAAAGAAAAATTAGCACCTTAAGTGACTATTACAATTAAAAAATATTATCCATAAATCGTGAGCATGCTATGAAATGGAAAAGGCATGCCCTTGAAATTGTAAATACTCAAAATTGAATTAGGAAAAAAAGCCATGAAATGGAGATCTAGTGCCCACAAATATATCAAAGGATAAGCCTTTAACAAATTGGCTAAAAATCGCAAGACTCAATCAATAAACTTTAAATGATCATATAGGAATGTGCAAAATTAAAAAGAGAATGAAAGTGAAGTGTATATTTGAACTTACGAGCATAAGAAAATGCATCCCATAAGCGATAATGATTCAACTTATTATCTATGTTATTGGCATTCTTTCGAGTTGATGAAATTATATTACGTAACCATAACTATCATCCGAATTACGAGACATAAGTAGAGTGGTAACATTATAAATGAAGTAATATTGCAGCATTAGCAATAACATAAAGCAAAGAAACTAACATTAAAGTACATATAGCGAGATATTTTAATAAATGTGAGAGAAAATCGGTAACTAAAGCTTTACTATACTTCAAATAACAAAAAATATGATGCTAAGACATCCTAAAACAAATAAATTAATCTACCAACTATAAACAAAAGGGAAATATGTGTCTCAATCCACACGGGCACATAAAATGTCTTGAGATACATGTCATATGTTTACCATGGAATTGAAAGAAACTTAAGGTATTACCTCCTCTATACTATGCAGACAGTGGTTTCTACCACAAACTATACTATTGCTCTACACTAAGGACGGAGCAACTTGCATGTCTTTCCTATGATCTCTTCAACCATTCTAAAAAGCATCAATTGCTGAGTTGTATAGGACAAGTAGTTACAAATCAACGAGTTGAAAGTACAATTTTTTTCTAAGATGAAGCAATAAAATAAATCACAAACCGAAGTTATGAAGACAAGGAGCAACAATAACAACATCATGCCATATGGTTAAGAAAATGCTGCATTTTGCATGCTCGTATCTATACGGACCTAGTAGAGAAAAAAACAAAAAGCCAAAGAATAATATCAGCATACTCATAGTCCACAATGGCACACAAGCATAAAGTTAAAAATTCTAGATATAAATTACACTAGGAATTTATTACAAATGATGGCAACTTTATAAATGAGTTACAATAGGTTTTTACATTTCCAAAACTTTGAAGAGCTTCGAGGTGGAATCTCCCATGAGCTCGGAAAATGGGGAAGGTGGGAGGTCGATAGCACTATAGGAGGCATGCAATTGAATTGTCGAAGTGGTGCAGGAGGCCTTAAGAAGATGAGAATGTTTAAAAAAACACACATGGCTCTTGAGGCATGTGACTATGAGTTGGAGGAGAAGGCCAAAGAAGTGGCGAACTAAAGCTAGACTGGCAAAAAAGAAGCTATAGATTGAAGAGTTAGAGAGCATTGTGAGGCTTAAGCAGGCGAGGCCGACATGTTCCAGCTCAAGGCCAATGAGACAAATCTAGAGGCCGACGAGTTGCAGAGAATTGCACTTGCTAAGACAAACAAATCAAATGAAGAATATGCTAGTAGTTACCTAAAGCTTCGTTTAAGTGAAGTCGAGGGAGAGAAGTAGTATCTATTTGAGAAGATTAAGCTATAAGAGAGCTAACTTGCATAGGTTATTTATGACTCATAAGTCGATCAATCATAAATGCAAAATAGCTTCAATTTCATTACAAAGTGATGAAATTAGATAGAGACATACCACCCATGCAAGCATTAGTGGATCGGCTTCTTTCATTACAAGCCTAACTAAACTAGATATTAACACATCCATCTATTCGATATCGATAATGAGTACACAAAATTACCCGAAGTTCATTGGAAACCTAATTTGGAGCTCAGGTAGTGGTGCTCGTATAACCAAGCTTGAACTCCCGAAATCAATCCAATTATATCATTAAAGGTATAATTCAATTTGTTGATACAAATATTTGATACTTAGCAAATAGTCGAAAGGATAGCATGGGATCCTTATTACTATAATATTTTACCAAAATAGAATATTCGGGCATTAGATGATAAGGTCGGGTATTAGGATTCTCCAAAAATTTAACTTCTATGTCTAACTAAAATGTCTCTACTCGAATTTCATCATAACGAGTTTCCAATTCAAATATTCTTAACAATCTTCAATCTAATAATCCAATCCAATTAACATAACAAAAATCCAAATCCTTCAAATTTCTAACTCTAATTCAAAAACAAAACAAAACCCGGATGCCAAAACCAATCAAAACCACGAGAAAAATAAAACAAAATTGAGATAAAAGAACTATTTTTACTCGCGGAACTTGTTGCCCTTTCCAACTTGGTACATGCCATAAGAAAAGGCACCAAAAGCAATGAGATAAATGGCCATAGCTTTAGGACCCTTGATGGGGATCCGAAGAACAAATCGGATAGGAGCTTAACAATAACTTCTAAAAAAGAGATTAAAACTATAAAATGGAAATTTGATCCTAAAAATGAAGAAGAAGGAGAAGAATAGAGGTTAAATAAGATAGTGTATTCACCTATGAGCGATAGTGATTGAAAAAAAGGAGAAGAAAAAACATAGAAGTTGAAGCGGCGAGGCATGATAACGAATTGCTTTGGTCTCTTTCCGAACTCAAAATAAAAAAGAAAAGAAAAAAACGTGGGGTAACTACTAAGAAGTGGGGCGGTTTTGTCACCTCGCCTCATGTAAGTCATATGTAAGATAAAAATTATAAAACCTTGAGATGGTTTTCTAGACCGCCTTAGACGTTCCGCCCTCGTACCCTTTTTTTGGTGTAGTGTTTACATAAAAATATAATATAATATCACTATAAAGAGTATGTAATTATAAAGATATCTTTATATTTTCATTTTTGTTTATTTCTCAATTCATGAAAAATGTATTTTATTACATAAAATAATTTCCCCCATGACTAAAACATATTTTCCCTTTTTAACGTAATAAAACCAATTATATCATGTATCTATTTAAGTTTCCAAACCAATTGATCAGAAAACAATTCTTCTTCTATATCTTTACTAACGTTCTATGTCTCCTATCTCCATTTTTTTGTTAAAAAATAATCATTAATCAATTCTAGTTTTGTTTGAGTTTGTTTTTTTTTTTTCTTTTTTCTCTTTCTCCTGTCACCATTTTTTTTTTTTTAAACAATCTTTAATCCATTCAAACCAATTGATAAGTAAAAGAATATAACAATATAGTATTAGAATCTTTTTATTATATACAAATAAATACATTGCCGATGGTATGGTGTGGTTGAACATCTAGTTGTTAGTCATATGTTAACGCTAATTTGTTGCTTCGATATTTTGTAGATTAGATAAAACAGGTAAAATCATTTTAATTTTATAATATGCACTATGTTACGTGTCTATTAAAATATATCGAATAAAAAAATAAAAAAATCATCTAATATTATAATTTTTAATCAAATTTATTTATTTAATTATTTGTTTCTTATGTTTTTTTCATAAATTTTCTACTTATCGAAACATGATTTGTTATTCCTTATACATTTATTCTTGAATAAAATTTATAATAATCTAAATAAAAAATTTAATCTGATTGTTTTTAAAAATACCTTAATATGTTTATTCATAAGATTGTAATGAAAAAATTAAAGTAACAATTAATATAAAAACTTGTATAAAAATTAGCAAACAAAAAACTATCTTTTATTCTTATTAAATGATGATAAGAAGATTTTTTTTTTTGTCAAAGTAAGTGCATTTTATTCATAAATATTTATTCACAAAATAACCAATAATATTAGCATAAAAAAAATTTAATCATTGGATAGTTTTTCTAAAATATTATTTCTATTATTTTGTTTGAGAGAAATTGATTTATAATTTAAAAAATAGTAAATGATTAGTGTTATGTGTGTAAAAGCATAATTAATTTCTAATAAAACTAATTATTTCAATTTCTTTTTATACATAATGTCTATATTTTGTGGGTTCAGAATATGTAGCATAAAAAAAATTAAAAAACACTTAAGTTTTAACGAATATATTGAATAAATTTAAAGTTAAATTGAAATAAAAATTACTGCAAAATAAATTTTGATAATTTTTTATTATATAAATAAAAAGAAAATAAAAAAGTGAATTCCATTTCTTAATTGATTATTTTATTTTTTATTTTTTTTCACAAAATTGAGATAAATTATCTAAAATACACTTTTAATCTTTGTGTGTGTGTGTCTTAGCTACTCTTATTTAAAAATCACAAGAATTCATCATATAAATTAAAAAAAGTAATATTAAACAATAAAAATAATATAATCTGACAAATATGTTCATTCTAAAATATGAAAATAGATCATATATATTTTACCATCATCAAATTATATGAAAAACTCAAAATATATATATATATATATATATATATATATATATATATATATAATTGATTTTTTAATAATTTTTACAGAAAATTTAATAATTAAAAAAATTAAAAAAAAAATTCTAGAAAAAAATCCAAAAAAAAAAAAAAACCAAGGCATGCACACTTGGCTTGGAAAAACAAGCATGAGCAGCCTAACTTCTTCTTTTATTTTTTTTCAAAAAAAAAAAAAAAAAAGAAGCAACGTGCGTTCTAACTATGCTGCACAAGTAATGCGTTTTTTGCTCGCAACTTATGGTGAACTCGAGTTTGCCAAAATCTTCGTTGAAATATCAAAATTCTAGGTTTAGACCTCAAAAACTTAATTTTGACATCATTTTTTCTTCAAAACACCTTAAAATCACTTAAATAAGGGTAGAAAACTCGTTTGAAACATTAAAACTCATTTCAATACACAAAAAAAATCAAATTAAAAGATTCAATTTTCTTAAGATCTGGTTTAACTCTTCCAACTAGTTTGTGATTCGAAACTACCATGAATAGTTCTCCTCTCTAAGATAAACGAGTTTGAATATAAGATTGGCAATCAAAGTGGTGGGAATCAACTCTAAATGTGGATTTATCTCTCTCTCTTTTTTTTTTTTTTTTTTTGGTATTTAAAGACCATATCGTAATATAAATGAAATTGAAAATTGAAACATTCAATTATTTTGTTTGAAAGAAATTGATTTATAATATATAAAAAAAGTAAATGATTGGTGTTATGTGAGTAAAAGCATAGTTCATTTTTTAATAAAACCAATGATTGGTGTTATGTGAGTAAAAGCATAGTTCATTTTTTAATAAAACTAATTATTTCAATTTCTTTGTATACATCATGTCTATATTTAGTGGATTCAGAATATGTAGCATAAACAAACATTAAAAAACACTTAAGTTTTAAGGAATATATTGAATAAATTTAAACTCAATAAATTGACATAAAAACAACTACAAAATAAATTTCTACAAGTATTGATTATATAAATAAATAGCAAATAAAAAAAGTGAATTCCATTTCTTAATTGACTATTTTAAAATTTATTTTTTCAAAAAATTGAGACAAATTTATGAAAAACACTTTTAATCTTATATATATTAAAAAATTAATTTTAAACAATAAAAGGAATATAATCTGAAATATATGTTCATTCTAAAATATGAAAATATATTATATATATTTTATCATCATCAAACTATATAAAAAACTAAAAAAAAAATTATGATTGATTTTTTTAATATAATTTTTAAAACAAATTAAATAATTAAAAAAATAAATTTCTAGAAAAAAAAAAGCCAAAAAAAAAAAAAAACCAAGTAAGGCATGCACCATTGGCTACAAAAACAAGCCTGAGCAGCCTACCTTTTTTTTTAAAAAAAAAAAAAACAAACACACGTTCGAACTATGCAGCACAAGTGATGCGTTTTTTGCTCGCAACTTATGTTGAACTCGAGTTTGCCAAAATCTTCATTGAAATATCGAAATTCTAGGTTTGGACCTCCAAAACTTAATTTTGACATCATTTTTTCTTCAAAACACCTTAAAATCATTTAAATAAGGATATAAAACTTGTTTGAAACATTAAAATGCATTTCAATAGACATAAAAATAAAAAGATCAAATAAAAAATTCAATTTTTTTTTAAGATCGAGTTTATCTCTTCCAACTATTTTGTGATTTAAAACTATCATGAATAATTCTCCTCTAAGATAAACAATTTGAATGGACAATTGGTAATTAAGGTGGTGGGAATCGACTCTAAATGTGGATTTATCTCTTTTTCTTTTTTTTCATTTCTCTTCCTTTTTTTTTTTTGGTATTTAAAGACCATTTCGTAATATAAATGAAATTAAAAATTGAAACATTCAATTATTTTATTTGAAAGAAACTGATTTATACTATAAAAAATAGTAAATGATTGGTGTTATGTGTGTAAAAGTATAATTAATTTTTAATAAAACTAATTATTTCAATTTCTTTTTATACATCATGTCTATATTTAGTGGGTTCAGAATATGCAACATTAAAAAACATTAAAAAACACTTAAGTTTTAAGGAATATATTGAATAAATTTGAAGTTAATAAATTGAAATAAAAACTACTACAAAATAAATTTCTATAAGTTTTGATTATATAAATAAATAGCAAATAAAAAAATTGAATTCCATTTCTTAATTGATTATTTAAAAAAATTCAAAAAATTAAGACAAATTATCCGAAATACACTTTTAACCATTTAATATTTAAATATTAGAAGAATCCATCATATAAATTAAAGAAATTAATTTTAAAAAATAAAAATAATATAATCTAGCATATATGTTCATTCTAAAATATGAAAATATATCATATATATTTTATCATCATCAAACTATACGAAAAACTAAAAAAAAAAAATTATGATTGATTTTTTTTTAATAATTTTATAGCAAATTCAATAATTAAAAAAATCAAAAATAACTTTCTAGAAAAAAGCCAAAAAAAAAAAAAAAAAAAGAAGTAAGGCATGCACCCTTGGCCTGCAAAAACAAGCTTGAGCAACCTACCTTCTTCTTTTTTAAAAAACCAACGTGCGTTCGAACTATGCAGCACAAGCGATGCATTTTTTCCTTGCAACTTATGGTGAATTGGAGTTCGCTAGAAACTTTGTCAGAATCTTCGTTGAAATATCAAAATTCTAGGTTGAGACCTTCAAAATTTAATCTTGACATCATTTTTTTTTCAAAACACCTTAAAATCACTTAAATAAGGATAAAAAAACTCATTTGAATCATTAAAACGCATTTCAATACATATAAAAATAAAAAAAAATCAAATAAAAAATTCAATTTTTATAAAATTCAGTTCATCTCTTCCAACTATTTTGTGATTTGAAAGTATCATGAATAGTTCTCCTCTCTAAAATAAATAATTTGAATATAAAATTGGTAATCAAAATGGTTGGAATAGACTATAAATATTGATTTTTTTTTTTTTTTGTATTTAAGGATCGTATGGTAGTATAAAATGAAATTGAAAATTGAAACAAAAGTTTTTAGTAATATCAAAGACAAAAAACACAACATCTAGCGAAACTCGCATACCAAATACCTTAATATTGTGTTAAAACCATAAAAATGTCAAGGATGGTGAATAGTAAATGAACAGTAACATAATCTCTCTCTTTTTTTTAATTACATGGTCAATATGTTCCCACCTCATAAAAGTGAATACTTATTTCTTTTTATAGAAATGCCCATATTTCACCTTAACGTACACTGAAAACTTATTTATTTTTTATTTTCCAATTTTTCATTTCTAGCTAACTTTTATATGCAAGAAAAGATTGTCCATGTTGTCCATGATTACTAACGAACAACCTCAGTTCATTTCCCCCTACGTTTCTATCTCTCTATATATATAAACCTCCCTAATCCCTCTCACACCCTGTAAGGCCCTCTTCTCTCTCCCTCTCCTTCCTCTCTTTCTTCTCCCTATCTCTCTCGACTTCCTTTCCATTCAGAGAGCAGAAATGGTGAAGTTCTCAAAGGAGCTTGAAGCTCAACTAATCCCAGAATGGAAGGAAGCCTTCGTAAACTACTGGCAACTCAAGAAGCAGATAAAGAAGATCAAACTCTCACAAAAACCCAAGCAACCCCAACAAATTCTTGACCATGAATTTGCTCTCTCGATTTTTGATCCCATTTGCTCCCTCGCCAAAAATATAACCAACAAGCTCTTCCACTCCGATACCAAAACCGAAATCATTCAGGTACTTAACAACTTAAACATATATACACACACGCATATCATGTGCATATTGGTGTGTGTATTATACATGTGTTAATGTATAATCTTCCATCTTCATTTGGATTAAGTTGGCGTGTTTCGGTACATATATACTTAAGTTGGGCTTTCGAATTAAGTAAGTTCATCAATGTATAAAAAAGTGAGGTTTTTGGCCATTAAATGGGATTTTCCGGTTAGTTCACAAACCGATAAATCGGATCGTGTTTCGATTATTATTTTTTTTAATTCCTTTTTTGAGCCAGTATTAAGAAAGCAAAGCGGCACAAATTTCTTTATCAAAAAAAGCAAAAAAGAGGCATTGATTTTACAACAAAAAAGCATCAGGTTTTCCGATATATAAATACATGCGCCGAGATATGATTCCCCTTTTTTCGGTTATCATTATTTCTGGGTATCGTCGAGCTTTGTTCCTCGTCCTGTTTCGGTTCTCTGCTTACGTACCATCGTACCAGAAAATATTTACCTTACCTTACAAATCAGGTGTTTTTTGGTGTAATTTTATATATTGAAGTATTTTTGTTGCTATCTTATTTTTCGAGTTCTGTATAATCATCCTAACGTTGAATTAATGGGTCCCGCATCTTTATTACAGACTTCCCTCACCGGTCATTTGTAATCACAAATCTAATTGTCTTACATATATACAAGACACGATCCTCTCCACTAATTAAATTGATTAATTAATTTTTTTTTTCATATTGCATAAGTGGCAGCTCCTCTTTCTCTCAAACCTCCACTAAAAAAATGGTAATGGTGTTCTAAGTGTTGGATGTGGGACTCGAGGAAATGTTGTCAAAATCCAGCAAGTGTGGTTCCTTTTTTGGTATTTTTTTCCTTCTAGTTTTGGTAGTTTTTCCATTCTCTCACGAAATCAAGGAAACGGTTATGTAGGGTGTTCAATGTCACGATATTATTGTGAATAACATAGAGAAGAACAAGGACTCCAACAAAAATTAAAAATAAAAAAGAAAATAATCAATGAAAAAGTTCACCAAAAGGCAAGGAGGTTGTTGAATATATATATCTAAACATCAATTTTTTGTTGGTTATAGGTGAGGAGCAAAAGCATGGAGGATGGTGATGAAGAAGTGTACCAAACTGAGCTTGTTCAATTGTTCACAGAAGAAGATGAGGTATAATATCAAATAGCTAGTCGCTTGAACCCAAAATGTTAATATATATATATATATAATAATAATAATAAACACTTGTTACTTACTAGGTTATATTTAACTTATTTTCTAACAAAATCAAGTATATATTAATCAAATATCTTTCAGAACTTATATTTATGAGCAATTACTTTGACTAATGTGTTTTATGATGTTCCTTGCATTACATTAATTACGAGGGAAAGAAAAGGAGCACTTTTAGAACTTCTGATTAATTAATTTATTTATTTATTATTTTTGCACTTCATGCTTTAGGTGAGGGTGTTTTTTGAGAGATTGGATGAAGAGCTAAATAAAGTGAACCAATTTTACAAGACCAAAGAGAGCGAGTTTCTTGAAAGAGGAGAGATTCTTAACAAGCAGCTAGAGATTTTGCTGGACCTCAAACGGATTCTCAACGAACGCCGTCGTAAGCCGAAGGCCGGAGTTCTTTCTCGTTCTTGGTCATCTTCACCTCGGAACTCTGATTTTTCTGGTAAGGTTTTTTTTTTAATATATATATAATAAAAAAAAGCATAAAACTAATATATAAATGGAAGCAATTATTAATATTTTTTTACTATTATTTTGTTTGGTTTTAAGTGGTAATTAAGAAGACATAAAACACGAACTTAATTGGTTGGATAAATGTGCTTTGATACCCAATTCGTCAATTTGATTAAACTAATTAAAACAATGGTCTTATGATGTCCTGGCATGATGTGATAGATTGCAGAAAGAGATGTGTTGATTCTAGCTGGTTGTCTTACGTGGAATTTTTGTTTGTCAAAGTGTTACTATGCTTCATGCTGATCTTCTAGCATCCGTATCTATATGTGTACAGTTCGATTAAATTGACAAAAATTTCATGCCATGCACATGGAACAAGTAGAAAATCGTACATGAATTTCTCTGAAATATTACTCTAGCTACTTAGAATTTTCCTTGATCCAAAACATATATATTTCTTAAAATTAATTAATTACTTTGGTCAATTCGTGGAGGGTATGAGACCACACATCATAAAATCGGTTTAAAAGTACGTGGAAACTCATGGAACTTTGGTACGCTAGCTAAGTAGGTGGGCAATATATGCATTGCATGCGTAGCTTAAAGGGAAATTGTAAACAGATTGAATTCAATAAATGTTCTCTCTTGTTTGATTCATGATACACAAACTATCTATGGCCCGCAGAATACTTTTCCTGAAATGGAAAGAATTTATGAAGATTATCTTAAGAAAACTGATTTGGCAAAGACTCAATTAAAACACGCAAGAAGAAGAAAATATTGGATGGAAAAAATAATTAGTGTGTATACTGGCAAATTGTTTTCTAATGTTGATTTTTTGTCCACGGAATATAATATTAATTAATTCACTTTTCCGAAAAGAGAAATTTTATCGATGTTTGATGGATAAATATGTTGTTAATTTGGCAAGCTTTGGTGGATAGAAATGTCGATATAAGATATGCGTACGGCTAGCTAGCATTTTTCTAGCTGTCCATGACCATGAGATGAGAAGTTCTCGTGTTCCTAATCTTATCAACGTATCCAACATGTATGAATCATCACATCTTTTCCAATTAATTCAGTTTCGTAAAATTTCAACACTCATTAGACCGTTTACACATGAAGTTGGATCTCTAACTTTTAGGCTTTTAGCATGTGAGAGAAAGTGACAATACAAGAACAAAATTGCCAATTCGGCCTAAAATTGATTTTGCATATACGGAATAAGTTTCTTCAAATTAACTTATTTTTATAAGTAATGCTATACATACAAACATTTATACAAAAATAAAAAAATAGAAATTACTATTTTCATATTTATTCCATCATTTAATATAATGTTTTTGTCTTTGATCGTCAAGATCGAATTTACTATTTGCTATTTAACACATCAGTTTAAATAAAAATTTAATATGGTATGCATAGCATTTCATTGGTGTTATATTATATATGATTATTGCTACGTACTATAAATGCAGAAAGTGCAAGTGAATCAAATGAGGCCCCTGCAGATTCAGAAACGGATGAAATCATGGCAGCACTAGAGAAAAACGGTATCAATTTCGTCAATTCGGCCACAAGAGGAAAAACAAAGAAAGGGAAACCTAAGATGGCTATGAGGATTGACATTCCGGCTACGACACCAACACGAACAATCACGGCTGTAACATCAATGTTATGGGAAGATTTGGTTAATAATCCTAAAAAGAAGGTGCTGGGGATTTCATTAATAGAAAGAAGATCCAATGTGCTGAAAAGATGATTAGAGGTGCTTTTGTGGAGCTCTATAGAGGCCTTGGTCTACTTAAAACTTACAGGTTCATTTTTACACCAAATTTTATATTCTTGATCATAATAATATCTTTATTTATTTCCTATCTGAAATCAAGTATTAATTTTGTGATATAACTATTAGAGACTATTATAAATTATATTCGGGACTTTATTTAACAACTTAAGCTTTTAGGTGAGATGATTCTTTAATATGGTATTAGAGCTTGGTTGACCAAGAGGTCCCGATTTCAAGTCTTACCATCCCTAATTTCTCAAATATTAAGCACAAGACAATGTGGACTCGTGCAAGTTTCAAGTCTAAATGTTGAGATTTTCATTTGTGGGATGTGTTAGAGATTATTATAAATTATATTCTAGGGTTTCACCTAACAGTTTAAGCTTGGATAAGGATTTAATTTATAACTTGCTTAAAATGAGACTATTATAAATTATACTCTAGGGCTTTACCTAACATTTTAAGCTTAGATAGTGATTTTATTTATAACTTGCTTAAAATTCATTCTTCATGCATGAACTATTTTATATAAGATATATTCTATTGATCATAAAATCTCAAATACTGCTAAAATGTGCACTGAGAAAGAGTCACAAAGGAAGGGTCTCATGGGACACTCTTATTGCTTGTCATGGATTTGATCAATATTTGGCTGTGGTTCTGAGGTTTTCCTTACTTAGCTAGGTACGGCTATGAAGATATTTTCCTTTTTTATCATCCATATCTTAATATGTTTACCTATTTTTGGCAGCTCATTGAATATGGTGGCTTTCACGAAAATATTGAAGAAATTCGACAAGGTAAGGTGGTCGTATCTCAGCTTTTCTTTATGCGTGTTCCTTAAACTTTTGATCCGCATTAATATTTGAGGATAAGATACTTTAATTTGAGAAAAGCAAAAGAGACAGACAAAAAAAAAAAAAAAAGCATTTTACAGTCTATTAAAAAAAAAAAAAAAAAGAATAAAACAAGAAGAAGAAAATACCCTTTTTTGGGAAAACAACAAATCAGCGCCTCCCAGCAATTGTAAACATTTGAGGAAAACGTTTGTTTTTATGCTTAATTGGTGAGTAATAGCGTAGGAAAATATACGTAATGATTAATTTTTCCATCACCCAATTTTGTTCCTCGATTAGATCTTATTTAAAAGAAATGAAAATAAATAAGATTTTAAAGTACGTAACATAATTTTTATGAACTAAAAACAAAAATAAATGTTTAATTGATTGTGTTGTTATTGTAAAAGTTGAGTTTTAAAATATATAACCAAAATTTCCAGAAATTTTAAAAGAAATGGGCTTAGGATTTTTACAAAATTAAATGAAAAATATGTACTATTAGATTTAAACAAAATTATCATACAAAAATTAAATGAAAAATGCAAAATATTATATTTAAACAATCATAGTTTCTGTCTGGTGCTCATATTAATTTGTCATTTGCGTTTTGCCTTCCTTGATTTATAGATCTCCCCTTCGTACAATATGAAGAGAAGAAAAAAACTCAAGTTATACTGAATAAGTATTCTGATTAAATTATCTACCTTCAAAATGAAAATAACAACTTTATTTGTTTTAGGAGATAAAACATGAAATTAAATGTCTTTGTATTATATCAATTTAGTTCATTATATATGTCCTTAATTTGCTATTATTATTTTGGTTTATTATGTCCTTTAATCAAGTAGCACACTAACCATGATTAGTATTAGACAAGTAGCATTCAATCATGTTGTCACGTGTTAAAATTTCGATTTCATTTTTTAACAAATATTAAAAAGAAAACACACACACACAAAAACATGGTTAAATTAGAATAATCTTGTGTTTTATTTCCTTATTTTTTATTATTTTGTTATTTGACAATAAAAAAATAATTGAAATTTATATTTTGAGACATGGCAACTTGATTGAATGCACATGTCTAACACTAATTATGATTAGTGTGCTACTTAATTGAATAACATAATAAGCTAAGAAAATATAATAAAAATACATAATAAACTAAAATAATAATAGAGGAATATAGTGAACCAAATCAGTATAGAATATAAACATTTGCATGCTTTAACGCTTTGTTTTAGTCTTGGATTGTTCTCATAACGATGATGTCATCCCTGTAAGGAAACCACAAGGATGTAGGCGTTTGATCAAGGTCAGCAATTTTAAAAATATATTGTTATCTTTTGAAACCAATTAAAACCCTTTCTAACTTGTGTTGGAGATAATAACATAAATATATTTACGTTCCTCCTCACATGTAGAATGTGAGACCAACAAATATCGCAACCTAATTTCAAATGCGACCAATTTAATGATGATGCAATGAGAGGGATTTGAACTCCAATATGTATTTCATTTCATGTCATTTCCACACACCCCCATCTTTTTTTTTTTTTTTGGGGATATTTTCGAATATCATCAGTTAATCCATACTTACATATAACAATCCAGGTTTGTGTTTCAAACTTATAATGTAAACAAGTATGTCCACCGATCCATTTTTTGATAAGGAACTTATTTTGTGAATATTTTTACGTTAATTTTCTTAAGGTAGTGGGCATTGGGCAGGACTTCTACTCGATCTACTCTTATGTCTCCTTCTAAGAAAAAAAAACATTTTAATTGGAGTACTGAACATCCATTAGTAATAAAAAGGAACAATTTAATGTATATCATAAGCCAAGTCATTTTTCTGATAATCTAAGGTATATATTATTCATGATATGCAGTTTCAAAATTAATATCCTTTTATCTAGGTCATATGTACTGCTGTATTTGGTATTTACAAAATTAAAACTGATCACATATTTCACACATAAACAGGTATCCAATCAGCAGACATCAGCAAGTTATTTAAAAGCAGTGAAGAGATCTCATTTTATTAGTTCTGATAAGGTAATACATAAGACATACTATTATTTTGTGATGTAAAAGATCATGACTTGTGCATGTGGAGCTTAATTAGAATTGCAATATCCTTTACTTTGCACCTGATCATAGTTTGGTTATTCTTCACCCACTAACTAATGTCTATGCCAAAATAAATGCAAGTGGCAAGTATGGTCCAATCATCTTTTTATAGGCATGATGACCTCTGGTGACCAGCTCTCCACACACACACATATATATATATATATGTGTGTGTGTGTGTTGTTTCCATTTTGTTTACGTTAAGTACATTTGGAGAATGGGATTAATGGTTTTCTAATGAATGAGCATTATGTGTAATATTTATTATATTTGATTGACAGGTTGTTAGACTAATGGATGATGTGGAGTCCATCTTCACAAAGCACTTCGCCAACAATGACAGGAAAAGGGCAATGAAGTTCCTCAGACCCCAACAACAAAAGGAGTCTCACATGGTTACATTTTTTGTTGGTAATTTCTATCCTTCTCTTTGATAGTGGATCAATAACACACTCCGACAATAACCTTTACAAACACTCATCACTTCGTTTGATTAAGTTCATTGGCAAAGGAATATGGATCACAGTTCATTTTTTGCTAAATGCGTACTGTTACTACTAGCTAGTGGTAGGATACGCACGAGGTTCTGGACTCGAGTTCTACCCTTCATCTTTTGTAACTTCTCTGATTCTTACATGCCACCAAACCTGTGCTTTTTGCTTAAGAAACAAAGTAGGCTTTCCTATAATTGTTTGCTTAATAGGCTAAGCATTCTCTTCCATGATTGGTCCAATATGACTAAGCACAGTGCATGCTATAAACGACGGTGCTAGTACTAACTAAACACAACAAGATTAAGTACATTTCTGCTATCTTCCGACTAATGACAACAGCATCATCTTATGTAATGTAATCCACTATTGATTGACTAGCCTCTCGGTCAATATATATATATATATGTTGCTTACAGATTTTTAATGGACAGGAAACAGTACTGACCACTAATCCCGCTAATGGGAATAAACCTCATCGATGTTTAGTAGAGCAATTAAAAGAGAAACCACCATGGTTTCAGGAAAATTCATGTTTGTGCTTATTAATTGAAGTTTTCCCTTTTTGCTGTTGCTTATTGCAGGATTATTTACAGGTTGTTTTGTATCACTGTTCAGCGTATACGCAATCTTGGCGCACTTATCCGGTATTTTTAAGCCAAATTCTGAAAGATCATATGTCGAAACTGTCTACCCTGTTTTCAGGTGCTTATCATAAGCATTTTCTTTAATCCACCTAGCAATTCTTCACATACGCTATCTACATGATTTGTAAATCAAATTGACAAAAACGAAAACAAATCAGGAAATTGGGTACTAATGTTGCACTTAGTTCCCTAGATTGTTTTAGAATCCTTTTAACGAACAAATAGTTTGACAAAGAATTGGAAGAACTCAATATGCCTTAATGGACTAGATGACTAAAATGGAATTCCTTGTAACTGGATTGACAAAAACTAAAAATTTTTTATCTCATGCAGTGTCTTTGCCTTGTGGAGTTTGCACTTGTTTATGTATGGGTGCAACCTATTCATGTGGAAGGGTACAAGGATCAACTACAATTTTATTTTTGAATTCCAACCCAGCACAGCCCTCAAGCACAGAGATGCCTTTCTCATTTGCACCACTTTCATGACCTCGGTGGTTGCAGCAATGGTAATCCATCTCCTCTTAAGGGCTAGCGGTTTTTCTCCAAGCCAAGTTGATGCCATTCCTGGGATTCTCCTCCTCGTAAGTGTTACTCATTCCAGTTAGTTGCAAGTTGTTACAAGTTTTCCTAGTCGGTATCAGCATTGAATATTTGCACAAGTAGAAATCATTTTGTTTGAAGCTCACCAGAACTGTAATTGGACGTAATACCAAACTAGAGTCTGATGCTGATAAGTGATAACCGAACCATTTTTCAGATTTTTATTTTCGTGCTCATTTGCCCATTTGACATCTTCTATCGTCCAACACGTTATTGCTTCGTCCGAATTATAAGAAACATAATCTGCTCTCCATTTTACAAGGTATGCTTACTTCTTCATCTTGTTGAACATTGTAAAGATTTGTCAGTGCAGTACACAAAAATATCTTTTCTGATTTTCTTGATTGAAACACCATGTATGCAGGTTTTGATGGTCGACTTTTTCATGGCAGACCAACTTACTAGCCAGGTGATTTCTCTTGGCATATAACTTGTTGCTTCAAGCATCGAACTTCTGTAAGTTTGTGGCTAGGCTAATCTTCGCTTTGATTGTCATACAGATTCCATTGCTGAGGCATATGGAATCCACAACTTGCTACTTTCTAGCTGGGAGTTTCAAGACACATAGATATGAAACCTGCAATTCCGGAAAGCTATATAGGGAGCTTGCTTATGTCATTTCATTTTTGCCTTACTATTGGCGTGCTATGCAGGTATTATGCCCTTTAACAACTATGCACTTTTCTTTCACAAATGTAGGATTATTTGATCATATACCATGGATAACAAAAAACTGATACATTTTTCAGTCGCTCAAAGCCAACATATACATATATATATTGCTCCAATTAATACATTTTTTCTTATCAATGCAAGTGTGCAAGAAGATGGTTTGATGAAAGTGACCTGAACCATTTGGCTAACATGGGAAAGTATGTTTCTGCCATGGTGGCAGCCGGTGCGAGGATAACTTACTCTAGGCAGGAGAACCACCTATGGCTTGGTATAGTCCTGGTGACTTCTGTGTTTGCTACAGTCTATCAATTGTATTGGGATTTTGTCAAGGACTGGGGCCTTCTCAACTCTAAATCCAAGAATCTATGGCTAAGAGATGAGTTGATTCTGAAGAACAAAAGCATCTACTACATGTCCATCGTGAGTTCTCCCTCCATTTAAACCTACATATGTCCTTCCTGTCAAGAGTTTAAATGTGGAAGTTCTTAACAGATTGAGAAAATGAATTGCAGGCCTTGAACGTAGTTCTTAGAGTTGCTTGGGTTGAGACTGTCATGGGGTTCCGCTTCAATATGGTTGAGTCACGTATGTTAGATTTTTTCTTGGCTTCTTTGGAGGTAATTCGACGTGGCCACTGGAATTTTTACAGGTACATCTTATTTAAATCTGAATTAACTTAGGAATGTTGATGAGAAGAGCTTAGCGATCTATGGAGACAAAAAATTTCTATCTTCTAACATTCGTCGGAATGTGTTGAAACAGGTTGGAGAATGAACATCTGAACAATGTTGGCAAGTTCAGGGCAGTGAAGGCAGTTCCCTTGCCATTCCGCGAGACTGACTCTGACGGCTGAGATGTTTTACCGTCAAAATGTATAGAGTTCCCTTGCAAGTTCATTCCAGGTCAAGTTCCTGGAAGGCTGACAGAAAAGGGCCATTCAATACTTTCTGATGCCATGTACGGGATCCACATCTTATAAGAAAAATGTGCGAGTATCCGTGTCATTCTTCACAGATCTAATTGATTCTGTGATTCTAAAGTTCCGAGTGCAGTGAAGAAAGCGAGCATCAGGTTTACTTGGTATTATTATCTTGTACAATATTTGGGAATTCTAACTTTTATATGATGATATGAATGAAAGTAAAGTCTTTGACAATTTTTCGTTTCCTGTGGTAATGACTTGAAGAACATCAATTGGCAGTTACAAAATCCCCATTACTTGTCTGATATTTTGAGAAGAAGAAAATTTTTAAAAAATAAAATAAAATAAAATCACAGCCCTATCAATAATATTTTCGCATGATATAACAAAGGTGAAATGAATTTGAAGCACATTGAAGATCAAGAAGAGACAGAAAATGGCTTACGCGAATGCTATAACAAACGGCCAGGATAAGATTATTTTACTTCTGTTTTTACCTAACAGCAAAACGAAAAAGGCACGCTTTGAGAAATCATATTGTCAGTTTGAGCACTTGCAAATGGTGACCATGAAATCACTAACAGGTCATACATTTTTCAATATTAATAAAGTTATTTACTGAATAGCAAATTTGCGTCCATAGACTCTATAATCTATTGTTAGGCCATTTCAATTATATTTTCCCTGACTTTAAAATGGCATGCTGAGGGGGCACAAAACGTCAGAATTGGAGACACTTAAAGAAGAAAAGCAACTATATCCATAATTAATAATACGATATTATTACATTTTTTGGCTATTGAGGCAACTATTGATCAAGTTCTTTATTTATGGACAGAGTTTAAGATTAATAGGATTCTCTAAGCTCTAGGGAACTGTCCTTTAATCTCTGCACAAGGACTCAGCCATTTTCTTCGAGAGACAGTAAGCAGTGGACTGGATTGTGATCATTGGATTAACACCAACAGCACTTGGCAAAATACTAGCGTCACAAACAAATAGACCTTCTGCTTCCCAGCTCTCTCCGTTCTCATCGACAGCACCTTCTTTTTGATTAATCCCCATCCTGCAGCTCCCCATTTGATGGGCTGAGGAGTAAAACGTCCAGTTCTCTACTAGTGACAGTGGCCCCGCAGTGGCATAAACTGTGTCCAAAAATTCCTCCAGATCTTCTTTTTTAATCCCTTTACATTTGATCCTCTGCCCATCGCTTCGATGTGTTCCCACTTCGACAGCTCCTGCTGCTACTAAAATCCTCAATGCCTGACGCAGCCCTGCCTGGAGATTCTCTTTGTCCGATGCATCTAAGTTATAGGATATCCTTCCCTCCGTCGTAACTTTTCCAGATCCGTTGTCTCTTACTATCGTTATCAGGTGAGCAGTTCTTGCATACTTCATCATTCTGTCCTTCATGTCGTGTCCAGACACCCAGGGACATAACACAGCAAATGACGAAGGCCCTAATGCAGGAGTTTCTATAATTGCCCTCACGTTGGAGTCTCCTGTTGCCACTTCATGAACTGAGGTGATTATTCCACCCTCGTAAACTTTCCCCTTGAAATCTGAATTTGACTCTGGAAAGTATCCCCAAGCCATTAGGACAGGGTGTAGATGAAGGTTCCGACCTATATTCGGATTCTTCAATCCACTGGAGATCATTAAAGGGGGTGTCATAAGAGCTCCACATGCGGAGATTGTTACTTTGGCCTCAATTTGCAATCTAATTCTGATATTTTTGTTTATAATTTTTGCAGTCACTCCCAAGCATTTCTTTTTTCTTTTACTTCCACCCTTGTTCTTTTCCAATATGAATCTCTCTGCTTTGCATCCTGTTAAAATCACTGCCCCATGATCAACAGCATCAACCAGCCATGTACGATCAGTCCCTTTCTTCTCTCCTTTTCGACAACCATATCCGCAAGAGCCACAATAATGCCTCTCTGAGGAATTCCGTGGGACGGTTTCGACATGAACACCAAGGCACTCACACCCTTTCCGAAGTACTTGGTTTTGAAATCCTTCCTCTTCACAACTCTCTGTGACTCCTATTCTCGCACAAACAGTATCCATGGCAGAAAGATATTCAGGACTCCCAAAAAGTGGAATTTTCTGGTTCTTAGTCCATTCCTGAAGCACAGAGTTTGGTGTTTTGATGGATGCCGACCAGTTAACAGCAGAACCTCCTCCAACTGTTGATCCTGCCAGGAGCAGCATCTTCGCATCAGTACTGGAAAGAATTCCGCCTGATTCGTATAGTTGATCTAGGGAAGGGCCTTCCAAACCAGAATAATCTGTAGGAGTAAAGTAGTTCCCTTTCTCAAGAACAATGACCTTCTGCCCAGAAGCTGCAAGAACAGCTGCGGCAACTCCTCCACCACAACCAGAGCCAACAATGACAACATCACATTTGATTTTATAAAGGTTCTTCCGAGGATCTTGATTAACTTTTAGGCCTTTCTCTGTAAGAGAATGGAGAAGGGTGGAGTCAGTTTCTTGATTAGTATCTATCAATCCCTTTTGAAGGGGCCTCCCTTTTGGAACTTGGTCTGGATTTTCATCAGTGTCTACATGATATTCAATTGCTTCCCATGCTGGATTGTCACCATTTTCGCTAACCTGTAGAAAGAAATCTTAAGTTTGAGAATTTTGAGGCTTAAAATTACTGCAACTATATATATACAAATGCAGTAAATCATTTACAATGTCTATATATTAAATTTCAAAAGCTGAACTTTTAATTTGCAAACAAAGTTTCCTTGCTAGGGGGATTTTACCGCAGAATGGCTACATGGTTGGATGGGTTTATGATTGCAGGGGTCTCTCTACTCTCTTTTTTATATCTTTGTAGTGCTCCTTTACTCTGTTTCATCTTAAGTTAATCTTACTATGTTTATTTTCTTTCTTAATTGCATCTTTTTGTTAATTTTTTCAGCTAATATTATTAAATCATATTGTTAGCATCACAAGATTGCAACAAGTGTAAAACTTTATTTATTTATTTTAATTTCATCTCTTTATTTTTTTTTCAAATTTAAATAAATAAATTTTGAAAAAAAATTAACAACACCTAATAAAAAATAAAAAAAAAGGAAAAAGTGAACATATATCTAGTCTTTTAACCGCTTTTGACCGAATACTCTAAAAAAAAAATCTTAATAAAATTTAAATTCCTATTTTAAAGTCAAATTAAGAAATTTATAAAATAAAAATAATTATATTATATTATACTTCTTGAGGAATTATGAAATTATAAACATCATTAAAAAATTTAACTAAAATTCTCTAGATATTTAAAAATATACTATTTATTTATATACAAAATTTTCTCACTAACATATAGATAAATTTAAACCCACAAAAGATATTTTTGATAAAAAAATATTTTTATCTCCACTCTTTTTACTTTTTGTTTTCATTTTTTAGAGATGATGACTAGGTATATGTGAAGAAAATAAAAAAAAAGTTTAAACTAGACTCTTTTGAGGTAGTATAAAAATTATAAATACTATTCAAAAGTTTTAAATTTTTACCAAAAATCTCTTGACATTGAAAAAAATACAATAAATATTGTTTTTGTACTCAGAATTTATTTACTATCATAGAGATAATATAAGCTCATAAAAAATATTTTTATCTTCACTTTTTTTTTCAAATTTTATGTATTTAAATTTGTTATGAAAAAAAGTATAGGAGGAAAACATTAAGATAAAAAAAAAACGTAGCCAAAAAAGTTAACAAAAGAACACAATGAAAATAGAAATTAAACATAGAAGGAGGAGTTTAAGACAAAAAAATGTGAAAGGACATGCTAAAAATGAAAGAAAGAATAGAGAGACCCTTACAATCATTAATCCATGATTGAATAGCCAAAACTCAGAATGTGAACCTGGTTTACCATACATCAAATTAAGAAATTTGTAAAATGAAAACAAATAAATTAGATTATACTTTTTAAGGTATTATAAAATTATAAATATCATTCAAAATTTTAAAATTTTAACCAAATTTCTCTTGATCTATTAAAAAATAGTATAAATATTTATTTTATACACAAATTGTTTTACTAAGATAGATAAATTTAAACCCATAAAAGATATTTTGGATAAAAATATTTTTATCTTCACTCTTTTTTTTTTAGTTTTTATTTTTTTAGAGATAATGACTCATAATATGTGGAAAAAAATAAATAATTTTAAAATAGACTCTTTTGAGGTACTATAAAAAATTTAAATATCATTAAAAAATTTAAATTTTTTACTAAAAATCTCATGACATTGAAAAAAATACTATAAATATTTTATTTTATACTCAAATTTACTTACTATCATAAAGATAAATTTAAACCTATAAAGAATATGTTTAGATAAAAAACTATTTTTATCTTCACTTTTTTTAATTTTTTTTTCAAAAATTTATTTATTTAAGTTTGGTAAAAAAATAAAATAAAAATAAAGGGACAATATTAAGATTAGGGGGAAAAAAACATAGCCAAAAAATTTAATGGAAAAACACGATTAAAATAGAAATCAAACATAAAAAGATGAATTTAAAATAAAAAAAAGTAAAGAGACACCAAAAAAAATAGAGAAACCCGACAATCATTAATCCATAATTGACATACCAAAACACGGTATGTTAACCTGGTTTATGGTACATCATATACACAATGATCTCCACTTCAAGGCATCATAGCAATTTGTTGGGTGCACATATAAGTGGTAAATTAACATTCCACGTTAAAAAAGAAGGGAAAATAATGTGTTGCTAATATATGAGATAAACCCAAGACACATTAGTATAGTGTTTAGATTAGATGTGGTGTTCATATTTATGTACAAAAACCAGGTGCATGCTGGCTTAATTTGACACAAAGCCTCCATGGGGATAAAGAGGCCCTTGTAACCTTTTCATCGGTGAGTTACCCAAGTGATATGCAAGAGAACTGGATTGTGGGGATGGAAATGGTTGGATATATGCATCAGTTTTGATATAATTTATGGATCATGTGATTAAATGGGGTAGCTAAGACGTGAGTGTGGGTTTGTTTGGTCGAATTAAAGATATGATGATATACGTGTTTCCTAACTGGGACATCAAAGACGTGAGTGTGACGTCGTTTGGTCGACTTAAAACTGAAAGACGAAGGTAATATTAATAATAATCGCAATAAGTCTGAATTAATTGCAATATGGCCCAAAAGCATTTTTCTTTAATTGAATCCAACTAATCCATTTAAAACGAGATGCATTGCCAGTGGAGGAAAAAAGGACAAGACACTTGTTTCTTGCCTGTGAAAATTTAAATAAAAAAAAAAAAAATCCTCATTTTCAATACCACTATAGAAAACCAAACAAGGTGACAAAATTAATTAATACCTAGTATTATATCCTCATGCTGTTGCGGGGTAATTGATATCTATAATTATAGTCCAACGATGCTTCTTTTTTAAAAATTATATGTTATTAATTTGGTAAAAAAATATATAGATATGTTTTTTAAATTTTATTTTAATCATTTTTATAAGAGTTGAGAACTTTACATACATTAATAAAATTTTATAAAAATCAAATGATTTAAATAGCTTAGAAAGCTAATGGGCGACTAATTCTAAAATCTTTTATGTTCTTTGTTGGTATGCTATTACGCATATAGAATTTTGAAATATAAAAATATAAAAAAGCGATAGAAAATTTTGGGACATCTATCAAGTTCCAATAGCTATTTAACGGCGAAAAAAAGCTTCTTGATATCTTTAGCAAACTAAAAGGGTGGTATAGAAATATGTTTAAACTGTAAGTGTCGAAATATAACATTGCTAAATTTATAGGGACCAAAAGATCGTTTACCCACCTAAGGTCCACCCATCCATACAGTGGAATTGTGGGGACTCCCAAGCAATTATAATTCTATTGGTATGGTAGGCCCATTATTGTTTTTGCTTTTTCTTTTGTGGGAACTCCAAACTGTTAAATAAGCTGCTAATAGAATTTCCCACCCAGTAGGCATCTTCGATAGAGATTACGGTAGGCCCATTATTATTCCTACTTAATTTTTATTTTATTTTTTAAAGAAAAGGAGTCCAATGGTAAGCATACGGAATAATTTCTTACGAAGTTACCACCAACGAACTTCTACTGCTCCGATCAAGAAAAAAAGTTCTACTACTTAGTGTCAAAAGACAAAAATGTCCAACATGATCATCCAATGTAAATCAAGATAGATGAAAAAATTAAGAGCATAGAATCTTGCGAAGTGATCAGATAGCATTACCCGAGAGAAGAAAACGTAGAGGGACAAGACCTTGACATTAACGAAGACACATCTGATGGGTGTAAAAATCCCATGTTTGAACCACTTCAGCAAAACCTTCTCCCTCTTATCCAAAGAGATGCTTGAAAAATTCTTGACGTAAGGCCATTTCTCCCCAAAACAAAGAGACCCACAAAGCAAAAATGTACCCAACCTAGTGGATAGAAGCCATAGAACCGACCTCACCACGAACACAGCTTCGGGCAATCCCCTCTTCCTTATAAGCTCTGCAATCTGTAAAAGGAAGAAAAAGGTAAACTGCCAATTTCGGTAAATTCCTATAGGCAATAGAATAGTTTTAGTAGTTCCTTTATTTGGTTGCAGTGCGATATGTGACCATAAATCACAAGGGATTAATTTACTCGTGTGAGATGGAGAAATAAAGGGGGTGTGTTGATTCTATACCTCATCAGGCATAGGCTTTTGAGAGGCAGAAGCTCTGTAGAAGGCCTGCACAGCCTTGGTAGGTTGGTCCAAATCAGTAATTGGTGATACAGAAGGCAATATAGTCTCACATAGGCTAGAAAGGGATTCCATTTCAGCTGAAGAGAACCCATGATTGTATTTACTCTCTCTATTTCTCCCTCCCCTCAACAAAGGATGGGTCTCTCTTCTCATCTCATTTGTCTCTTATATTTCTTCTCCTTCGCATAATATAGTAAACAATGGCGTCCGTCCTCTTTTTATAATGGTAAAGTTGATTAGTTGAAAGACAACATATGATAAGAATATTTATGCTCCAAGTAATCAATTGGATTGGCTTGCTTTGGAAAACAAAAAGGTATTACAAACGCTGTAAAACATAAGACGGTTCTACTGTTCTTTTCCCTGTAGCACTAGACTCAAGTGTCTTGTTCTTTCAACAGCGTTTTTCTTTTTTGCTTTCTTTGACTCTTTACTAAATCACTGTACAAAATCTATTGTTTTGTACAATTTTTTCTTTCAATCATCCGATCTAAATTAATTGCTTTGGAGTTGTTCGATCAAACATTGCTTTTTTTTTCAATCTTAATCATCCATTTAAAAAATCCTAACAATCACAATCATTAAATCATATGATATATAAGTTCTTTTAATTCCAATATGATAAGCCTCCATATTTTAGATAAAAGCATGCACCATTCTCCTCTTCACAATAAGCCGCTGCACCACCACCCAGCCAAAGATAGGCTCTCTCGCAGCTTTCATACCTCCCAATAGCATTTTTGATCATTTAAAACCAGTTGATGGGCTGCTTAAAAGGCTATCGATAATTATTTGCATTAAAAAGGGATTCTATTCTAATTTTCGTCCTTTTTTTGGATATTTAGGTTTTGATAGGTTGAGCTCGGATTGTTATTTTGTTTTGGCTGGTTAATGATGGCGTTAGTTTGTTAATTGAGGAAAATATGAGCTTTAATTTTTTGATAATAGAGGAATGGAGAGTGATGATATGTCAAGTTGTAAGGATTTGGAAGTTAATTTAGGGTTATAGAAGGGTTTGTCACAGAATTTGTTGATACCTAAGGTTAACAAAGAAATGAAGGAGGAGGAGAAAAAATTATTGGGGAAGCAAATTGATGTTGGTGTTGATTCGAATGATAATGAACCTATTAGTTCTTTGTTCAAGTTGAAGAGACTTAGAAACCTTAAAAAGGTTAAGGTAGTTTTGGAGAAGGTTGAAGTTAGGGAAGATAAGCTAGTGGTTGAGAAAGAGGATTTAGGAGGAATGGATGATACGCTTACGAGTTTTATGAAAAAGTTGAAAGGTCCTAAGAAGGATTTAGGATCTGTATGAATAATACCATTTTGGGATCCAAAATAAATGCCCTTTTCTATGATTTGGCAGATTTCATGCTCTATTGAAATGCTAATTTAAAAGATGCATACGCTCGGTTTCCTTTACCTATCTATTTAGGATCAAAATTTTAGTTTTCTATTCTGTGGTGATCCTTATCTATGTGTTGAAAGTTTCTTTTTTCCTTAATCATTACATTACCAATTGGAGTACTTAATTGTAATCTATTTCAATTTCAAATATATAGATTTAATAGTTTCTATGTGTAAACTAGTAAACCAACAGTTTTGACAATGCAGGTTCAACTAACACAACTTTAAAACTTTGGAAAGAGAGGACATGCTTATAGATTTTTGCAGGGCATTCAGGTTGGTTTTCCTCCTTTTTTTTTCTTTTCTACATGCCTCGGTGGTCATCTGTGGTACATTTATGTTTTCCCTTAAATAATGAACTGGTCTTCGAGAAATTTATAGCCCCACTTTGTTCAATATTTGTTCTCTATAACAAGAAATAAGGTGGCTTATGATATACTCATTTAGGTTAATCTTTTGGTTTTGCTAGTAAAATTTGTAGATACAACGAGAGGCTTAGCATTGATCCATGGATTGGGTATTACAATAAGTCTAAAACATAAAGCTATTTTACTGTTTAGAAAACTGTAGCACAAGACATAGTTTACTATTCCTTTTCTTGTTCCTGTTACAATATTTTTTCTGCATTATTTGACTTCCTACTACATGCTAAGTCACTTCTACTGTGCATGCTACAGTACTTAGTATTTGTTACTGTTCATCCAACGGGATTTGCACATGCTTTTGTTCACGTTTGCTTTTGTGATTTTTTCATTATCACCGCTATCAACATCTTTATCTGGGTCGATTTCAAGATCCAAAAAGAAGTTTCCAAGCCTCAAGACAATCACCCAGAGTCTTCACAGTTCCCTTCACACTTGAGCAAATAATATATACAAGAATTTTAACACAAAATGCCGCCTCTGCCCAACACGCACATCATATTCTCCACCATTGCCGTTCCTTTTAACATCCCTTTCTTCCTCCACCCCTTTCTCTCTCTCTATGTTGGTGTCCCTTTTTTCTTTCTATGAGTATCAAGAGAGTGGTATTTATGAAATCAAATTAAAGGCACCCATTATCTTCCCACCATGCCAAAGGTCGTCTATTGAATGCTCAGCCATTATTTGACTTGGTCTCTCCCTTCTCTGATTCTGTTGCTCTCGGTTTTGACCATGAGTTGGTGATGATCGAGAGGTTTTGTGTGCTTCCTTACCAATGGGTGTTCATGAAGGGGAGCTTGAGAGGGCCGACGCTAATGGTGGTTCTTTGGGTATTTGGGTATCACAGATTATTATTTCTAGGAGGTATGCCTATTAGATGTTTGCGGTTTTGCTTACGAGAGTGGATGCAAATATTTACTGAAATATTTACTATTCATGCTACAGTGCATGAAATATTTACCATTTTCGATACAGGCAATGGTATATTTTACTAGCTATGCTACAGTAATTGATATATATTTAGCTTCTCTTTTGTTTTTTAAATGACATTGTTGGGTCTTTTAGTCTCTCTTTCTCCAGTGCAGAATTGAAAAAAGCTTCATCTAATTAGTGGGTTTTATCATATAGGTGATATGGAAGGTTTTGACAAGACAATTCCTTCTGAGAAGCTTAATCTAATTAGTGGTTTTATCATATAGGTGATGTGGAAGGTTTTGACAAGGGAATTCCTTTTCATTAGATGGACCTCCTGTTTGGATAGCGATGAAAGCGGGAAAAAGGAAAAAAAATAGGGTGAAAATGAAAGTTTTTCCCCGTTTGGATTGCAGAAGAAAGCAATGGAAAGAAAAAAATATTAAATAAACCTATAAATGGTGGGATCCATTTTCCTCTTAGATTTGGGAGGAAAACGGGGGAAGAAACCTGAGAAATCATCAAAAATTTTCTCATTCTCATTTTTGCCCTTCATCTGCCTCATCGTACCTCTCCTTTTCTCACTCTCTGCTTTCATTGATTCTAAGTTTTGGGGCTAAAAAAGCTAGTCGATCTAAATGAATCATTCTTCTGCTCTCTCTTCGCGCCCCTCCCCCCGCCCCCTCTCCGAAACTGACGCACACCCCGTCGCTTCGAAACTGATGCACAGGGCCCATTCGCTTCGCGCTCGGGAAGGCAAGGTGGAGAAAATACTGCTGCTATGTCTATTTTATTGTGTTTTATTTACTTTGTTGTGAAGAAAAATATAGAATACTAATGCCCCTGTGCCCTCGCGTTGTGTATTGTAGAAGAGAAGATGAATAGCGATCTAAAACGGTGGCACTTTGTTCTTCTCTTTGTTTCACGTTGTTCCAAACGATGACACTTTGCTCTCCTCTTTCTAAATATAAAGCTAAATAGGTCAAACCATTCCTTAATAATAAACCATTTAAAATCAAGTCCTTAAAGTTCAATACTTTTTGTTTTTGGGATCTAATTTTTAATTTCTTGAAATTTAACCTATCTTTAAGTTTATTTTGTCATTTATTCCAAAAACTAACAATCACATAAATAATTTCACAATGAAAATCATTTAGTGAGATTTATATGAGACTTTTCAAAACGGACCTTACACCTACCGAAAACCCTCAAACTTATTATATGCACGAGATAATAATACATGTTATACATATTTAAATTAATTTTATGTTGATAATTAATCTAAATTGACTATTGAATTAATTAATTAATAAACGAGTCATCGATTATTCTATGAAGACGATTCATTATCTATCTTATCATTTTAGATATATGTTACATGCTAGATTTTTATTTTATTATCATTTGTGTTATTTTTATGAAAAAAATATTCATACAAATTTATTATAAGTATTTAAATATAGAAATATAATCATATGGGTATTATAGTAAATATACAATAATATATTTTCTTTCTTTCCTCTTTTTACAATTATCCAAACAAGGAAAATGTATTTTCTTTCCTTTCCTTTTCACCCTTATCCAAACAACAAGTGAAAAATGATTTTCTTTCCTTCTTCTTTTCTTTTCTCTCACTTTCTTTCCTTCCTTTTCTTTCCTTCCAAGAGGAATTATAAAAAAAAAAAGGGGGGAAAAAGATGTCTACGCCTAAGGCATAGTAAGTTTTAAATTTGTGTTTTCTAATTAGATCTTGCCATCTGGAAAAAAATCCCTTCATATATCTGTTACGCAACACAAATAAAGCCATCATTGACTTCTGATATATTATTTTCTGCTCACTTTTATCTCATACATTGGGTGGGTTTTAAATGCTGGTGTCTTATCTTTCTTTGGGTCATCGTTGTGCATATTTGTTTGGTTTCTTGGCTTGGTTTCATGTTGCTGTTGTTGCGCCGTGGTTAGAGTTGTTTGTTATTGCCCTTTTTTTTTCTCTGCTTTCTTCATTGCCCAACAACAGCTTTGGCCCAGTTTTGCACTCGGCTGCTTTCTCACGTGGCTCTTTCTATTGTGATAAAATGAGTTTTCTAGTTAGTGTTCCTCTTTAGTTGGTTAGCTATAATCAGTTCCACATTCTTTTATTTGTTTTCTCTTGGTCTATTCCTAACTTGTTGTTTTTCTACCTATTTGTCTTTTTCTGTTTCTTATAAATTATTTTATTTCTATGCATGTTGTTTTCTTCTTTCCTTCTTTTTCGTCACTGCTCAAGGTCTTTCCTCTCTCTCACTTGCAAGTTTCCCTGCTCTTCTTTTCTTCCTCTTTTCTATGTGTTGTTTCATTTTTTAATTCTTTCTTTTCTCCTAGTATTGTTGTTTTCTACACAATTTGATGGTTGATGTTTCAATTGTGTTTTCAGATTATGGACAAACACTCTCCTTTGATCTTGCCCGTTTCTCCCACTCATACTGTTCATTTTTATTGTTTTGTTATCGTTTTTTCTTTCTCTTTTTATTCCACATTAGGAACATCTTATGGTAAAGTCAGATTTTGTTTCATTTTTTGCACCCTTTATTATGCTTTTGCTTTTTAATTTTTAAGTAATATGTGGGTTTTTTTAATGACATGCGCTTATGTTAAATTGGTTATATGTTTGCTGTGTTGTAGTCCATAATTGTGATTACTACAATTGTTGAATGCGTTACTCTTGCTTATTTTTACTTCACTTGATATGGCCTTTTGTGGTAGCTTCATTGCCGCCTAATTTTTCCTTTTCATTCTCTTATTTATTGTTGTTCTGTTTTTCATCTCTCTCAGTTATGCCTGTTTTTGGTTTCTAGTAGCTATTCTCTGTGTCCTCTGTTTGTGCATCACAAAACTTGGCCTTTACTTTTAGAAAGGTGTGTTTTTCGCTTTATTTTCCTTGTTGTGTTTTTTTATTTGCTAATTGCTTCGATCGAATTGGGTTGAAACATTGCTCATGGTTGTGTTGACTTAGATTAATTAAATATCATGGTAGCTTAATGGCATTCAAATAAAAGACAGAAAGTTGGAAAAAAGGGTGCAAGAAAGCTATATTATGAAATGTGTGAACCAAAAATAATTGTCCTATAATTCAAAATTTCATCTCCTGTTTACAATTATTTGGTTCCTTGATTTCAGAAACGTATATGCACACGTTTTTATTACAAAGAACTTGTTAGCTGCACTTGGTTTAAGTTGCCAACTTCCTAGAGTTCATAGCTGAATTGAGATAAATATGCTGGTATATGTTTTAATGTCACAGAAGAATCTATACCAAATCATAGCTGGAAAATGGGTTGAGTTCTCACGATAAAATCCTTACCAATTCTAGCGAGATAATTGAATCTAACATATATTAATTAATTAGCACATTTTCAAATTCTTATTATTGCTGAAGCTTTGCAACATCCAGCTGTTTTTAATATTCTTTAACATGTTTTTGTGTCGCTAAAAACATCTGGATTTTGAGTGTGTAAAGAAAATTCCCTGCGTTGCCTACAAAAATGAAAACCTATGGATTTATTTATTTATTTATTGTTCTAAATTGATTGAATGATTAAATATATGTGTGAAAAAGTTAAACATGACAATATCTATTTGGAATAAAAGAGTATTATTTCAAAAATAACTAAGTATAGAGAAAATTTTAATTTTTTACCTTAGTTGGACATATTCAAATATTTTTTTGACAGAATTTATTGTGTTTTTCTATTTAATTTCCAAAAAAAAAAATATTTTATTAATTTGATTCCAATTGTTGAAAAATTAATGTAGGCTTAGTTTATTAATTTGTAATACACAGTGGATTAATAAAAGACAAGAAACGCAAATATAAACTTGGTGATCCTCACCACCAGATGCACCTAACTCTGTTTTCTCAAGTACTCAGTCATTCCATTCCTAATAGGTCGAGCAAACCAATCCGTGAGTGTGAACCCCGGGAACGGAGACCTTTGAGATAATCTTGGTAGATCTTTGAGAAAGTCATGTTTTGGGAGAGTTGCTTCTTACCTTATCCTTATGTAAGAAGAGTTAGGCTATCTAAGTGAAAAAGAGGAGAGAGAGAGAGAGAGCTCTGGTTCTGATCCTATTTCAGTATCATGCGTTTTTTTAATCTAGCAAGTTCCTTATACTTTCACCCTAACTTTGAGTACCCTCTATTTGATCTGCTTGAAGGACTAAATTGTATTTAGGCCTCTAAAATTTAACATCTCCACAAATTAGGAAGTTTAAATAATTAGTGTAGTATAAGCTATGCTGATGGACCTTTTTTATTATTATTTGTAACCCAACTAATTTCGCAGGTATAAAAAATATAGTGTGTGTGCTCTCTCTCAATGTTCAAGAAAATAAAATAATTGCATAGCATCAAAAGCTATATAAATAGGATGGCTGACCATTTGGTTCATAAGATGACAAAACCCGTCAATGTTTACAATTAAATTAGAACTTAAAACCTCAATGAATTTAGTTTACATTCATTTTAAGAAGTTAGGATTTCTAACTCTGTTAATGAA